AAAATGCTCAAACTAAGAAGCACTCCAGGCATGAGTCTTCAACTCATCTTCAAAAACTTTGCAAGCATCAGATGTGCTATGAGTGGAAAAAAATGTATATGTCCTCAACCCTGAGATGGCAAGAGAAAACAAAACCAGGGAGCAAAAGCCAATGATCTAGTAGATATGGAGTTTGTCATCACCCTACTTGAACCAACAAAGACAGGACTTCAAGTAAAAGCATAACCCAGAGCCCGGATAGGGAAAAAGAAGAAAACCAGTCTCCCATACCAGTTCAATCCTAAGCAGTAATGGTCAACCAAACCCTCACACCAAGGACACCTGGTAAAGGTGTTGTCTGGAGGCCAGTTACGTGCGTGTATCACATAAGGAAAAATAAGTGATGAAGACAACAGTAAGTGTGGAGGGTTTTTTATGAAAAATAGGTGATGTATTGTCCTGGGTTGCAATGGTATGTATTCTATTTTCGTCTCCACAAGCTGTTAAAGAAGGTGGGGCAGTGATCCTTATCACCATGTCCCTGATGGCTCCCTCAGGGGGCTGTCTCTGATTAATGGGCTGCCAAGGACCCATACATGACACATCCGCCCAGTGATCCTTATCGCCTTGTCCCATGGTGAGGTGACTCACTCCAGGGGTGGGGAGCCAAACATGCTCACAGGGATATAAGCTGAGGTTTGGACCAGCACAGGGAGCCCTTTGCCTGCTGGATTCCCAGAGGACAAGAGCTGCTGCTGGACCTTCAGGAGAGGAGCAGATCTGCGGGATCACTGCTCCAACAAAGCCATTGCTCCAGGAGGACTGCAGCCACCATTTTAATCGGACTACTACTAACACCCTGACTGACAGGGTGTCAGGTTACTTTCTGACTCTGTCAGGTTACTTTTGTACTGTTGCATTTGTTGTTTTGTTGTGTTGTTCATATTAAATTGTACTTCTGACTCCGAGTCTCTCACTGGTTTGCTTTCAAACCAGCACATGTATACAAACACAAGGCCACATGAACCCCTGAAAATGTGTGTGCTTGCTAGAAGACCACAAGAATGGCAATCAACAGACAGAAAGCTGCAGAAGTACAGTAAAAATTAAAAAATGTGTTCCTATTTATTAGTCCAAGTAAGCAGGCAACAGAAGGAAAATCATCTTCCACGCAGGCCACTTCAGGTAAACTGGGGTTTACTGGGCTATGTCAGCACAATGCACAGAGTTTGAATCTTCCTTATTAACTCTTCCTCGATGGCATTCTAGCGGGAGAGAAAACCAAGTGGAATGAGTGACCATGAAGCAGTTTTCATATGCTGTTGTTAGACCCACATGTCTACAATGAGCAAACACTGCCAGATTATTAGCACTGACTAACCCAGTTGTTGAGCTGGAAGGACTTACTACTGCAAATGGCAGACAGCTACAGAGAAATATCCACATGAAGGGCTAAACAAGCTCAGCTGCCTTCATACTGTCTCTCAATGGGATACTGGACACCTTCTAGCTGAACAGGTCCTCCCCAAAGGAGAGTATTCTGACCTAAGATTAGCCTCAGGCTGGTAAGGTGAACTTGTATTTCTGAGTCAAAAACAAGTGGCTTACCAACCTGAGTAATTTAATCGAAAAATGTACCAAATGCTCTCAACTAGCTGTGATTTTTGATCATAGCTTTAAGGCTTACCACTGAATAACTTATGTTTTATAATCAAGCAGGCAGTCACCCAAAGCAACAGGACAGTTTTCATGGGGCTCAGATGTGGCCCAGGTCACTCAGGAAAATTACATATGAACTTCACAAACAGCTTTATGCATGTTTTCCAACAATCACGCCTGCAGATTACACAAGCATGAAGAAAATGGGTAATATGTTTTACAGGGAAAGGTCTCCATCACAGTCTACAAGGCAGCTGTTGAACCAAGTGTGGGCCCCAGAGCCCTCTGAGAGTTAAGGGAAAGAAAGGAAAGTTGTGAGGCCAACACAGCTGAGTGACTAAACATTTCAACAGGTGAAGCAGACAAAATCCAGAGGAGTATAGCTACCTAATCTCCATTGATACGACTATGCCCAACTACCTTTGTAGCTCAGACACTATTCCTTCCCAAGTCACCCCTACCAATATGCACTGCTTCTGCCTTACCAGAGTAAACTTCCCTGGAAGATCATTAAGACTGAAGTCTAAGGTGGATAACTGTAATCAATACATGTAGCTTACAAAAGATAAAAAACTCTTACCAGTTCTTGTTTTCTTTCTTCAAGCATCACTTGTGCCAGAGAAAAAGACTAATGAGAGAAAATGGCATAAAAATCAGTATTTTGGCAGAAAACAGAGTCCCTGCACCTTTGCAAGAGTCTAATGACATGCCACATGGGAATTCAGGGATAATAAAAGCAGTTTTGTGTACATCCCTCACATACAGAAGGTACTGACACTGAAAGCATAGTATTAGTTTGGTTTGGGCAATCATAAATCTTTCAAAATTCTGGTATGGCCTAAAGTCTGAAAAAATGCTCATTTTAAGCCATTTTCCAAACCTACCAATTGATGGACTCGATTTCAATCATATTTGTGCACAAATTTTCCAAAGCACAGTAAGCTTGCAAAGATAAACCTCCCTCTTACTCCTTCTGCCTGCACCAGAAGCGAGACGTCAGGGCTCTCCCTGTCTCGACTGACAGCAAGTCAGGAGGAGGGAACTGGAGAACCTAATCCAATTTGAAGGTCCTGTTCCACTCAAGGAAATGAGGCAGCTGCCTCTAGGAAGAAGACGGATTAAACGGAGAAGCAGTCCCACCCTCTCCCTTCAGCCTTTTCTTCTAGGAGCAAGACAGCGGTGATTCTATGAAGGAGATGAGAAAACTCTGTTTTTAGAGAGCTGAGTAGCCAGCATCCTCAAGAGAAATCAAACAAAATGACGGAACAGCCAGGCAGTTTAGGGACAATGCCTACATCTGGCTATTTCTTCATGTGCCTTAAAACCATGTTCAGAGCTCCAATCTCTACACAATGTGCTGTGTGGACCATATTGAGAGCCTGATGACATATATAGCTAATGTATGGGTAAATCTCAAAAAATGTGTTATGCTAGGTAACTACATTTCCTTCCATATTTCTTGTCTAATTTCTAGCTAGCTCACCTTGGTACTAATTTACCCAGAAAATCTGTCCACTTTGCTAGAAAAAAGTTTTCCAGGCAAACATACTTAATTTCTTGGCTTCGATTAATAAAGAGATAGCCTTCTGTGTAAGAAAAGTCTTTGGTTTATGTCATATATGATCTGTAGGACATCTACCTGTGCACCAAAGCCATCACAACAGTATCTTTTACATTCTGAAGTCCATTAAAATTAATGTGATGACAAGTACAATAGAAAAGTGGAATAAATAATTACAGGAGGTAAATCATGGTAGTACTTCAGTTTCTTCTTCAACAGCTTAAGATTTTTCTGCAGTGCAACCAGTTCCTGGGAAGAGAACAAGGCAGATTATAGTTTAGAGTCTTACTTATAGAAGTGAAGGAAATCAGTGAAATAGATCCACAATCACCTACAGCATTTCAGAACTCACGGGTGTTGTCAAGAGCTTTTATCCTTATTAAAACACATGGAAAACTAAAGTTTTGCACTGGCAGCAGCAAAAGGACTCTGTCTTACACTTACACTCCTTTGCTTATTTTGTCAACAAGGGGAAATAATTTCTCTCTGGGGCTGCAAATTGAACACCTTCCAAAGTCCTTAACTCTTTTCAAATAATCGAAGTAAAAGAAGACAAAGTCATTTGTGCTGCCTGTTTCACGGAGCTCTCAGCAAAGCAGAGCTAGAAATGTCAGGGAATCAAACCTTACCTTATGCTTGGGTTCTAGAAGATGACAAGCCTAGACAATCGCCTATGGCTTTTTGGATGTAAAATTCAAAAAAATTAGGTCTGGTCAGTACCCTCCCGAAACACTGTGCAATGTAAACATTGCCACCCAGTGCTGGTTCATGAGAATGACAACAGAGAAATCAGGAAACCTATTTTCATTTCTCTACTCAAAAACATGCAGGAGAAGCTAGCAAAATAAACAAGGAGAAAGACTAATTTCTCATTACGGTAATAGCACAAAATATCAGGATGTGGTGAGTGCAATCAGACCAACATAAATATATGTCATATGTGTAGAACTGTTTCAGCACAAAGCGGGAAAATCTGTAGGCTACTAACTCAATAAATGGGCTTTTCTTAAGCAAATTATCCCACTGGGTTTACAGTACAGCTTAAAAATTTAAAGACACAAGAAAAAAATAGCACAGAGTGGTTCAGAATTTGGGCTTCACTTGATCTCCTCTCCTTGCTCTGAAGTGCTTGAAAGCAGGTGCATTTCACAAGAAAGTTACATTGGTCATTCTATCAAGAAACTGTAAGAACAGGTAGCCATGTAACAGGATATAGTCCACAGAATATACACCACCATGTACCCAAAGACCTACCTCAGATTGCTTCGCTAGGTCCTTGTGTGTCAGGGCTTGGTCCAACCCCAGGGCAATAAGCTCCTCCTACAAACAGGGGAGAGTTTGCTCATAACTCAGCACAAAATGTAACAAGGAGGAAAAAGACTTCACCACTTCCTTGTGGTTTTATCTAAGCAGCCAAAGAACAACACAGTTTGTCCACAAAGAAATGTGTGCTATCTGAGACACAGTTATAGCTGGTAAATGAAATCAGTTGCTACTAAAGATGTATATCAAGAATAATAAGTCCTTCCGCAAAACTAGTGGGAGAAGAGCACACGGCAAGGCTGGAAAGAGGCTTCTCAGCAAAACGTCATCAACCCTAATACAACACTTTCCATCTTGTATTTGTCAAGGTATCAGACAGCATCCAAGTGTTAAATAAAACATTTGCATGTCCTTCATCATGTAGAAAAGATGAAGAAGCAGGGAGTGCAACTTCTGCTTTCTGCATTTAATCCATTAATTTCAAAGAATGGCTATATTCAGAATTCTGAGATACCATTTACCTCAGTGAATCAGCTCCTCTGTGGGTATCTCTCTGTACACTCATATATGACAGCACCTTACAATAACCACAAGGTAATCCTAGTTAACACAGTTCTCAGGGAGAGAGGATAAAGTGCTGTATTGATCACAGGATGTGCTGGGGAGACACCAGCAGGAACAACTGAACTGTAGTAATGTGTTGTCCCGTGACACCAAGAGTCCTCAGTCCTAGAGCTTAGGAAGCTCCTGGACTATCTCTGTAAGTACAAATTTTGGCATGACCAACCACAACTGTGTCACCCTATCACACCACTTTATTAGAAAACTCCTTACACCTACCTCAGCAGTCTTGATCCTGCATTTCAAATCGCCTGTTTTGTTGATCAGGTATCGCTTGTTCTTGGATCGAGTTTTAGCTTTGCTATTGTGTATTTCCAGATATTTCTTTGCTTTTGCAAGATCCCTTAAAAATAATACAAAAAAACTTTTACATACAAAGAGATGCCAGAATATAAACTCTGTTACTTATCTGTGCTCCAGCTAAACCCTGTAATACAACCAGCACAAGAAGGGAGAAAACTAAGAAACTCATTTCCCTGTGAGATTTCCCAGTGGAAACAGACAGCCGTTACATCCGGAGTTCCAAAGGCCAGGGAAAATAATGGCTATGGGGAAAGCCATCTGCCTAAAAGCAAAGAATAATAGTCTTCTGCATAATGCCCTAATTCAGAGATCTGTAACACAAGCTAAAGCTTAGATCACAGAGAAGGGCCATGGCAAATCCAGACAAGTCATGCAGTTCTGGTATCATTGCTACAAGAAGCACCACAATTACCACTCTAAGAGACAAAAAAAAAACCAAAACAGAAAACAATTAGACTGGAAGGAAGCTGTGGAGATCATCTGGGCCAGTCCTCACTTGAGGCTGGGGTTGATCCTCCTGTGCTTGGCAAAGCACTTTAGATTACATCCTCCAGGGAATGGACTTGATACTGATTTTTTTTAAATCAGTTTCCCACACACTGGTTAAAATAAATTTTTACCTGGGAATGGTTTTGATTTTGTCTGGCTCCTCCGCTCTGAACACAGACCCCATGCTACATGTGCTAAGGACATCAGGTTTGCCTTCAGTCTCAGACAAAGCCAATTGGTGGAAGATGCAAGCTCAAAAACTGATAACTGCTTGTAGATCATTTTTGCTTTAAAATAATGAGTTTGATGGCATCCCAAATCTCTTTTGGTTACTGAATGTGTCCATAGCACATGGTTTTTGATAGACACGTCCAAATATTTTGAAATTGAGATGTGTCAAATCCCCCAAAATTTGGTTATCCTTGTAAGGTACCACAACTAACATTGTCCATGGCAGAGATCAGCAGTATTGCTTGCATCTCTCCCTTTTCCTCATCCATTACTCACTTCTGTAACCGCAGTTCCAGCATCAGCGCTGCAGATAGTTTTACCCTGATATTCTTCAATTTCAGTGCTATTTCTTTGTTTTGTGATTCTGTTTCAAACAGCTCTGAAGTCATATCATTGATGGCACAGAAGAAACTGGTGAAGAGAGAATCAGTGGAATTAGCTTAAGGAGTCAGCTCTACTGAAAGTCAGAAATACAATACCTCTTCTCTCCACACTTTATACAAATGACTTGGGTTTCCTCTGATCTTATGATAGAAGAAAATTAAAATAAGTCACTAAGGGTATTTGCTTTCCTTAACTTTCATGTTCCATCTGGAAGGGAGAACGGCCCAGCAATCTGAGTAGGAGGAAGTGAACACCTGGCATTCTGGTGAATAAAGCCACTGGGTTTGAAACCACCAGATGCTCCGTTCCTGGCTTGCCAAATTTCATTTGACAGAAATTATATTCAGTCCCTGCAAATGCATGGCCCCAAGATGTGCCCAACAGTTTCTGAGTCTCTTCCTCTTCTCAAATGGTTCAAAGCTGCTTTCCCCTCCACCTCAGGAGAAGAGCTCTAAAAGCCAAGACCTTGAACATCACAGAAAAAATGGATTACAAAGCAGATTTTGACCCTTTCTTATTGCCAAGGCTGCTGTGTCACAGGTCAAAGCCAGGTTAGGGAGTAGGGCCCAGGAGGACCAGGCTAATAGCTGCCATTTCTCTGTAACTGAGGAAATCTCCTCACATGAACCGAGGCCAGATAAGAAAGAGAAGAATGAGGAGCTGAGACTGGAAGATCAAGCTACAGTTTCCTTGCCTAAGCAGTATGAATGCTTCTATAACTTGGGCTCCCTGGAACAACAGTCCAAGTGGCTGCACCCTGCACCACTGGCCACAAAAACATGGGCAAAAAAGAGGGATTTAACTCTGACCAAGACACACCTCAGGCTTCAGAGCCTTCCTTCGCTGGGATAACCTAGAGTTAGCACTTTGTGCTCAGTTCCATGTCCTCCAAAGCTGCCTGGGGGTGCAAAGTAAGCTGGACAAATAAGATTCCTGGTGTCAAAGTGAAGTTTGAAGCTGCTGATGTGAAAAACCAGAGTGAAACAGCACAGACCATCACCCCAGATGCACAGTGTGAAGAATTACCTGGAAAGAGACGTGTCCTTCATTTCAAGTGTCACTGCACTGTCTACCAGGTCACTGAAGAACTGGAAGCTTTCTCTGGACAGACTGGCTGGGTTAAGACCCAGGCTTTGTATGAGAACGTTCTGCATATGTTTAGCTGGAAAACAAATACAACCCAAAAGAGTAAATTTTTAATATTACTGTTCTTTCAAGGGACTCTCCAAAGACAGAACCCAATCTTACCCCAGAA